ATGCTCCAATGAAGACAAATTATCATCGTTATCGTGTTGAGATGTTTATTCATGTAATTGATGGACAACTTATGGAACTAAATGATCGCTTCAACGAGGTAAGTACTGAGTTACTTACTTGTTTGGCATGCTTGAGTCCGAAAAATAACTTTGTAGCTTTTGACAAACGAAAGCTAGTTCGTCTTGCTCAATTTTATCCTTATGATTTTTCGGATAGAGACTTATTGATGCTTGAAGATCAACTTGGTGTTTATGTTCATCATATGCGTTCGAGTATTGATTTTTCTCAATTGGAAGGGATTAGTAGTCTTGCGGAAAAAATGGTGGAGAAAGGAATGCATGAAATATTTCCTTATGTGTATTTGCTTCTTACATTGGCTTTGGTTTTACCGGTTGCAACTGCTTCAGTGGAGAGAGCATTTTCCGCCATGAATATTATTAAAAATCCACTTCGCAACAGAATGGGAGATCAATGGTTGAATGATAGCTTGATTGTTTACATTGAGAGAGATGTTTTTGCTTGTATTGATAACGAAACTATAATGCAACGTTTTCAGAATATGAAAACTCGTCGTGGACAATTGTAATTTGTATTATTGGTTTTGTTATGAATTATGAATGGAAGTACTATCTTTCTATCTTTTTAGCATTATTTTCTTTGTAGAAAAATTTCAGAACTTTTACACTAAGCCCCCTTGGCCACATAATCCTGGATCCGCCACTGGGCAGAAAGTATCGGCAACACTTCCATAACGATAGAGATGATTATCTTTATCAACATAATCATCAAACACTTGAGCATAATCTTGGGGTAGTGCAATACTCTGAATGTCTCCTCTCTAACGTCAAAAGCCACTATCACTTTCTGCTTCTCATGGAGCCAATGTACGACCCCATTGATACACACTCCATTGACTAACTCCTCCAGAAGGTCGCTGTGTTGGTCTACCTGCAATGGCCTCCACGAAGAATCTGTACCTATTGTGAATATGTTCAACAACCCAGTATCCAATTTTCCAAGTCCACTGGGATCAACACAAATGATCTGCAGAACCTTATGCTCGTTTGTGAGGGGACTGAACCCAAAGTAATATTGAGCATTGGACACTCCTTTTGTAAATAAGTTACAATGGCTCTTGCCGTTCGGCAAGAGATAGCTGGGACTTATTTTTGTAGCTGGGTCTAGCAGTATCCCTTCGGCAATTTTGAGCTTCCCCTTCCTTCGGCAAGGGTGCTGGGTTCCAAGTCATTCACTAAGGCAAGGCTGAGCTGGGTTTTGGGTTTTGTCCATTGGAGCTCTCATTTGCTGCCGCACTGCCCTTGCCGTTCGGCAAGGGTTGGTTGAAAGGTTTTTTGGAGGGCCTGTTCGTGCTTCAGCAAGTGCAAAGAGGTGGAGAGTATCGGAGCTGGGGTTGGGAGCTAACGTCGGTAGCCAACCCTGTGTTGTGATTTTCAGAAATTTTGGAGACTTGGCTCTCGGTAAAATCTGCTCGGGCCGAGCTCAGTGTACAGACAAGCTTCACTAAGGCTACGGTGTGGGATGCTTGGAGCTGA